ACTAATTTATGATATTTTAACATATTTCCCTGAACTAATTTATAAAATTTTAACATATTTCCCTGAACTAATTTATGATATTTTAACATATTTCCCTGAACTAATGTATAATATTTTAACATATTTTCCTGAACTAATTTATGATATTTTAACATATTTCCCTGAACTAATTTATAAAACTTTAACATATTTACTAATCTATAATATTTTAACATATTTCCCTGAACTAATCTATAATATTTTAACATATTTCCCTGAACTAATTTATGATATTTTAACATATTTCCCTGAACTAATTTATAATACTTTAACATATTTGCTAATTTATAATATTTTAACATATTTCCTTGAACTAATTTATAATATTTTAACATATTTGCTAATCTATAATATTTTAACATATTTCTCTGAACTAATTTATAATATTTTAACATATTTGCTAATCTGTAATATTTTAACACAATTCTCTGAACTAATCTATAATATTTTAACATATTTCTCTGAACTAATTTATAATATTTTAACATATTTCTCTGAACTAATTTATAATATTTTAACATATTTGCTTTGTTTTAATCAATCATTCCCTGCAATGCGCTAAGGGCGCCTTCGAAGTGTGGTAGGTATTTAATAGAATAGCACGGGGTACACCTGACGACTTGGATGGGGGGATAGAGGGGTGAAATCCCAATGCCAACCCGCTATATCACTTCCCAGGCTGCATCAAGGCTGCCTTCGGAGTGTGCTAGAGATCAGTAAAATAGCACGAGAAGCATATAAGGGGATAGCATAAAATGGTCAAACCGAATGCTGGCCCCAGTATATCGCTATCGGAGTGACCCTAAGATACAGGTGAAGATCGGTAAAAAGAGTACAGGTATGAAAGGTGGATATGCAGTAAGACAGTGGCTTTCTGGGTTGTCATGGAGAGTCAGGTTCGAACACCAACCCTTATCGCTCTCCCAGGATTCCCAATGATGCACGCTAAGTTCAGTTGAGGGCGAGGGAGAGAAACGTTAATATATGGTTAGTACTGGAGAAAATAAGTACAAGGAAAGAAATGAATCACTACATAAAACAGGTGTGTAGGGCTGGCTACTGGACTTGAAAAAAGGAACCAAAGAAGATAGGGGTGGAAGTGGACATATCACTTGATCCGGCTATTGACCACAGGGCACATTAAGCCATCTGGACTTTACACGGAGATTAAGATTCCTACATTACTAGTTTCCCCACCTTGTTTATCGAAAGGTTAGTGTTTGAATAGAATCTCAGCTTTCATCATTATGCCTTTTTTTTAGTTAACTTTAGAATGTTACTTTTATGACTATTTTACAATAGAGTAACATTTTATAATTAGAAATTCTGGTTCTATTTGTGTTGTCATTGAAGAAGCCAGTTTTACAAGTGCTCGCCATTTTCCAAAAGGCTGAAAGTTCTTTTGAGGTTTCCTGAAGTATGTCCTACAAGTCTAAAATTCGTGGACATGGCCCTAAAGAGGGAAGAAGGATTAGTGTAATTAATCTTAACGTTTGTGCTAATCTTTTGAATTAATCGTGTAACATTTGTCGTCAATGGGGAAAGAAGAGGTCAAAGGAAGGAGAAAGAAATCTACATAGCACCTGACCCTACCAGGTCGCGAACAACACGACCAAACACCGACTCCAGATCAGGGATTTACTGAAAACAGACCTTAGCTTGAAATATATTTTTTTACGGAATAGTTTAGAAAAAATCATGGCGTTTTTTTTTTACATTTCGAACATAAAATATTCCTGTATAACTTATAAATGATGAATAAGTGTTTGAAATAGATAACACAAAAAACTGTTGAGTGAATCATTCGGATTTCTATATTTATTCTTTTAGAGCAAAGCCACACAATTAACCCCTGTGTTCTGTCCACCGTGATGAATTAAACCGCGGATTTTAGCATTGTAAGTCCGTAAACTTACTCCTGACCAACCGGTCCATAAGCTTACTGCTGTCCCATATATGTGTAAACTTACTGCTGCCCCACCTGTATGTAAACTTACAGCTCACCCACCTGTATATAAACTTATTGCTGGTCCACCTATCCATAAACTTACTGCTGTCTCATACATCTGTAAACTTACTGCTGCCCCACCTCTATGTAAACTTACTGCTGACCCACCTGTATGTAAACTTACAGCTGACCCACCTGTATGTAAACTTATTGCTGACCCACCTATCCATAAACTTACTGCTGTCTCATACATCTGTAAACTTACTGCTGACCCACCTGCCCGTAAACTTGCCGTTGGTTCAGCGGTAAGATCAAAGGCTAAAATCCCTGATTCGTGTCCCCGTAGTGGACACAGCTCAGCCCAATGTGTGGCCTTGTGCTGAAAATAAACAAACATACACGCATGAAGTAGGTTATAACCATACATCTGTTAAACTGTTTTGTCGTACAGCTGTTTTCCATCTACTCTAATAGCAGGAGCACATCTTGCACGTGACTTGACAATTCTGTGTTTGTTCTAGTTTGAGTTTCCTAGTACATACTTGGTGAAAGTGTGCTTAAAGTACGACAATTTATAGTCACTCAGTGTATGAGTACTTTTTTTCAAAAATTCAAGCGACTAACTCACTATATACACGAAGCCCGAGAAGGTTAAAACGTCACTAAGGTTGTTTTTACACTTCTCGTTCTTTCCTTTCACCACAACAAATGATGATAATTTTCTAAGGTAGGTCACGCTATAAACATTTAATACAATTTTCTATTACCTTTTGATTTTTTATTACATGGGTTACTATTAAATTGATTTCTTTTTTTTTTATCTAGCAGATGGAAACTGAATGTTTTCTGTCAGATGCTTTTTGTCTTAGCTTTGTTTTGGGATCGAATTTTATAATTATAAGCCCTCAAACTTACTGTAGGGTCATAAGGGTGGGGGCTTTTAATCAATTCACAGAAAACTTACAAAGCTTCCAATTTACCATGTGGCATAGGAGAGAAGAAACCCATAAAAACAGAACAAGAACACAATGTTTATATAAGAGAATTAACCTCAAAACACAGAAAAACAACACAATGTTTATATAAGAGAATTAACCCCAAAACACAGAATAAGAAATACAATATTTACATGAGAGAATTAACCCCAAAACACAGAATAAAAACACAACATTTACATGAGAGAAGAAACCCACAAAAACAGAATAAGAACACAATGTTTATATAAGAGAATTAACCCCAAAACACAGAAAAACAACACAATATTTACATGAGAGAATTAACCCCAAAACACAGAATAAAAACACAACATTTACATGAGAGAAGAAACCCACAAAAACAGAATAAGAACACAATGTTTATATAAGAAAATTAACCCCAAAACACAGAAAAACAACACAATATTTACATGAGAGAATTAACCCCAAAACACAGAATAAAAACACAATATTTATGAGAGAGTGAACCCCATAACACAGAATAAGAACACAATGTTTATATAAGAGAATTAACCCCAAAACATAGATAAGAAACAATATTTATGAAATAATTAAGCCCAAAATACAGAATAAGAAACACGGTCTTCACGAAACAATTAACCTCAAAACTAAAAAAAAAAAGAAACATTATCTTCATGAGAGAGAATTAACACCAAACCATAAAATAAGAAACACAACATTCATATTAGAGTATATAATCTTTATGTGAGAGAATTAAACCAAAACAGAAACCTAAACTTGTTATCAAAGAGTTAACTTCAAAATACACAGTAAGATACACAATCTTCATATGAGATTTAACCTAGTGTCTTCCTATATCAGTAACGTTTAACACAACAATATAACCTAGTGTCTTCCCAAACGTTCCTCATACAGCACAACAATATAACCTAGTGTCTTCCTGTATGAGGAACGTATAACATAACAATATAACCTAGTGTCTTCCCGTATGAGGAACGTTTAACACAACAATATAACCTAGTGTCTTCCCGTATGAGGAACGTTTAACACAACAATGTAACCTAGTGTCTTCCTGTATCAGTAACGTTTAACACAACAATATAACCTAGTGTCTTCCTGTATGAGGAACGTTTAACACAACAATATAACCTAGTGTCTTCCTGTGTGAGTAACGTTTAACACAACAATATAACCTAGTGTCTTCCTGTGTGAGGAACGTTTAACACAACAATTTCACTTAGTGTCTTCCTGTATGAGGAACGTTTAACACAACAATATAACCTAGTGTCTTCCTGTGTGAGGAACGTTTAACACAACAATATAACCTAGTGTCTTCCTGTATGAAGAATTTTTAGCATAATAAATTAACCGTACACTCAGATCATATAAAATTAATTTTAAATTTAATCTAACCGTACTGGTTAGAATGTATGTTTCTCGCTATCCCTAGCTAATATATTGGTAAGAATGTATGTTTCTCGCTATCCCTAATTACTATATTGGTAAGAATGTATGTTTCTCGCTGTCCCTAATTACTATATTGGTAAGAATATATGTTTATCGCTGTCCCTAATTACTATATTGGTAAGAATGTATGTTTCTCGCTGTCCCTAATTACTATATTGGTAAGAATGTATGTTTCTCGCTATTCCTATCTAATATATTGGTAAGAATGTATGTTTATCGCTATCCCTATCTACTATATTGGTAAGAATATACGTTTCTCGCTATCCCTAGCTATTGTATTGGTAAGAATGTATGTTTCTCGCTATCCCTAGCTACAATGTTGGTAAGAATATATGTTTCTCGCTATTTATAGCTACTATATTAGTAAGAATATACGTTTCTCGCTATCCCTAGCTATAATATTGGTAAGAATGTATGTTTCTCGCTATTTCTAGCGACTGTATTAGTAAGAATGTATGTTTCTCTCTATCCCTAGCTACTGTATTGGTAAGAATATACGTTTCTCGCTATCCCAAGCTATTGTATTAGTAAGAATATGTGTTTCGTGCTATCCCTAGCTACTATATTGGTAAGAATGTATGTTTCTCGCTATCCCTAGCTACTGTATTGGTAAGAATATACGTTTCTCGCTTTCCCTAGCTACTATATTGGTAAGAATATATGTTTCTCGCTTTCCCTAGCTACTATATTGGTAAGAATGTATGTTTCTCGCTGTCCCTAATTACTATATTGGTAAGAATATATGTTTAGCGCTATCCCTATCTACTATATTGGTAAGAATGTATGTTTCTCGCTATCCCTAGTTACTATATTGGTAAGAATATATGTTTCTCGCTTTCCCTAGCTAATATATTGGTAAGAATATATGTTTCTCACTATTCTTAGAGTATATTGGTAAGAATATATGTTTCTCGCTATCCCTAGCTACTATATTGGTAAGAATGTATGTTTCTATTCTTCGTCCACAGATGTTTCCGAGTTGTGTACGCCATGTTTTTGTAACTTTTGGTCAATAGTGTTTAACTAAGCTCCTTTATTCTTAGAAAATGTCAAGAAGAGATCACTTTGAAGTAATGTGTATACGTTGAGGTAAGTCAATATCCTTAAGAAAGGAGTAATCATACAAGTGTTAAATCTATGTCAAGTAAAACAAACATTCGTAAATAAATCGTACAGTTCTTCCGTGTTTACTTTCTAAGCACTTGGATTATTGACTTGTGGTAGTGACGACATCGGCTTTATAACCTAATTCTCGTATACATGTATTAATTAATCAGTTTCACAATAACTACCTTTTATCGATATATATATAACTATTTCACTGAAACACAATAAAATCCTAAAATATTATTCTTAGAGCATCAATTTTAAGAAAGCTACAAAATGTCAGCTGTTTGAAAGAAATGAAAATTGAGATAAATTATTTACTGAATTTAAATATTTATTATTTTCTCAAGAAATTTGCGTAAATTCATATAAAGAGATAAACATTTCTTATCTGGGTTATCAAGTGGAAACTTCAATCTGTCTACCCATAACACTAATTAACTGATCATTTAAATTATTTCAAACAAGTTATTTATTTTCTAACCACAGAGTTATAATAGTTTTACGAGTGTATTTGTTGTTAAACACAAAGCTATACAATAAGCTATCTGTGCTGTGCCCACCACGGGCATTGAAACCCCTTTCTTTGTGTTATAAGCCTTCAGATTTACTACTTTAGCACTAGGGGGCTTGACAGTACTTCGTGATTCTTTATAACGTTTTTAACTGTCGTTTTTCTCGATATGTTTTATTCCAATAATCATCTAAATTATTTGCACGATACGTGTCTTATTGAATCAAAACAAGTTTACTAAAGAAAGGACATTGTAATTCTATAGCTACTATAGAAGATGAGCCTATCTGACCGTTTGAGTAAAAACATCGAAAATGCCTCAGATATCAGATTGAGGGGATGAGACATACATTCTAACAAAAGATATCAGATTGAGGGGATGAGACATACATTCTAAAAAAAGATATCAGATTGAACGGATGAGACATACATTCTAACAAAAGATATCAGATTGAAGGGATGAGACATTCGTTATAATAATAGATATCAGATGGAGGGAATGAGACATACATTCTAACAAAAGATATAAGATTGAGGGGATGAGACATTCGTTATAATAATAGATATCAGATTGAAGGGATGAAACATACATTCTAACAAAAGATATCAGATTGTGGGGATGAGACATTTGTTATAATAATAGATATCAGATTGAGGGGATGGGACATACATTCTGTGTAAAATAACTGACACCAGGACTATACTGTTGCCTAGATCTACTAACTGTTCACTAATTCTTTAGAACAGAACACATTAAAACAACTAGTCAGTGAGAAGTGATTCAATGCGGTAAACTCGGTGTTTGTTACGTGTTTTAATATGAACATTTAGATATTTACAAAACTTCTAACAGTATAGTCTGATGACTAGATATTTCAATAAGTCAAAATCTGTTATTATCAAGTGGCAGTATTCATATGTAATACAGAACTAGTGACTTTTTTGTAATACAGAACTGGTGACTTTTTGTAATACTGAACTAGTGACTTTTTGTAATACAGAACTGGTGACTTTTTGTAATACTGAACTGGTGACTTTTTGTAATACTGAACTAGTGACTTTTGTAATACAGAACTAGTGACTTTTTGTAATACAGAACTGGTGACTTTTTGTTTACAAAAAGTCACCAGTTCTGTATTACAAAAGTCACCAGTTCTGTATTACAAAAATCACCAGTTCTGTATTGCAGAAAGTCACTAGTTCTGTATTACAAAAAGTCACCAGTTCTGTATTACAAAAAGTCACCAGTTCTGTA